CACCACTTGCCCACTGGTCGACCTTCTAGAAGACCTCTGGACCCTACTTCGATTTTTGCCCTACAGGTCTGTTGTTCGAATCCCTTACTTCTCTGGTGCCTACGATGACCTACCTGCAAGTGGCTATCCTACAGGTCACAGGTTCAAGTCCTACAACTACACAGATATTGTACACAGGTAAGTTGGGGAACTAGGGATCGAGCCCTGGGACCTACATCAGCTACTTCGAATTGGGGAATACCGTTTCAAATCATAGAATGACATAAATAGAATATAGCTATGCAGATACAAAATGAAAGTCAACCAACTACAGCACAGAAAGTGACTTAACAACAAACGAGACCTCCATCGCTTTTTGCAGCACATTGAGCACAACAAGAAACTGTAGTGGAGCTGGGATACTGGATGCTGGTGCAGAGACAGTCAAGCTAAGTCCCCACACAGTCTCTGAGATGATGAAGTAACTTGCCTGTGCAATTGCACTTTGGAGGCTGAAGAACTGACCACCATCACTGAAACTGTAACAGCAAAACAAACCAAACAGTTCAGAGATCAGTAAGCTCTTCTCAATGAGTCACACCACCCCACCATCATCACCAGTCATTACCCTCATCAATGATGATGACGATGATCATCATCATCATCACTATCATCACCATAATCAATCATCATCATCATCATCATCATCATTGTCATCAAGACACAAAAAGCCAGTGAAGTTTCTGATCATGGTCAACTACTTGATGAGCAATTGCATTGCTGATGCTCATAAGGATTCAATACTGCAACAGGGACCATGCCTTATGATGTTCAGGGGAAGACTGACAGGAGGCAGGTGAGCAAATAGAGGGCGATAGAAGGAAAAACTGAGGGGTTTTCCGAGAGAGAGTGGAATAAGTCCGGTCAGGATCTCACAGAGCAAGTTGCACAAAGAGAAGAAGACGAGACAAAAACAGACAGAATCGTGCCATTTAGTAGGGGCACGGAGAGTGACTTCAAGGACGTACGTTTGACCCTACTGACTGTCAACAAGCTTCAATGGTGTACCTCATACTGTAATAATATAGCTGCCCATAGCAGTGCGCTTGTGCTTTCAGAAAACCAAGAGGGAAGCGAAGCGAGCATCCAGTGGAAAAGACCGGAGAGACGGGGGGAATGACAATTTCTCAGTGATCCCCGCCATGCCATCCAAGGCTCATTCCCTTCCTCCTCTTTCCGGACAACATGCGCGTGCGCGCGCGCAAGAGAGAGAGAGAGAGACACAGAGAGAGAGAGAGAGAGAGAGAGAGAGAGAGAGAGAGAGAGAGAGAGAGAGAGAGAGAGAGAGAGAGAGAGAGNGGGGGGGGGGAGGTGGGTCGAAGAGGAGAACAAAGGAGGAGGACAACAATAAAACAAGCAACAATAAAAGAAGGACGAGAATGAAAGAAGGAACAGAACAAAAAGAGAGCACAAGGACTTCTCGCAGCAACAGTATGTAAAAGAGGACAGAAGAAAATGCAAGGAATTATTGCTGAGACACACAGAGGGGCAGAGCCAGACAGAGAGACAGAGGGGGGGAGAGAGAGAGAGAGAGACAGACAGACAGAGGGAGAGAGAGAGAGAGAGAGACTGACAGACAGAGGGGGTAGAGAGAGAGAGAGAGAGATAGACCGACAGAGGGAGAGAGAGAGAGAGTGACAGACAGAGGGGGTAGAGAGAGACACACAGATAGACACAGAGGGAGAGAGAGAGAGAGACAGACAGATACAGAGGGTGAGAGAGAGCGAGAGATGGACAGACAGACAGGCAGACAAACAGACAGAAAGTCGATGTGTGATGGTGAAACAAAGGACAACAGAAGGTGACCGTGCCAATTAACAACATTCTGTGTGAATGTTGTTTAACCAAAAAAAAAAAAAAAAAAAAAAAAAAGAAAGGGCGTCGGGCTTGAACTTACCGGCCTTGGGTAATTCAGAATCCTTCCGTATACTTAACTCATCTTTCTTCCAGTGGAGTTCGAACTCAGCACCTGGTCTGTATTTCAACAGTTCAGTCCAGGGGGGGTGTACCAACTGAGCTAGGCCAGTCCTGTCCCTTGGATTCCTTGCAGTGGCTGTGGCCTACACAAGTCAAAAATTCCCCTCTTGACTCGACGTCAAGGTGGCGTTGTAATGCCACCTCGACTTCGAGTGAAACGGGGAAGCGGGGAAGGTTCGACTTGTGTGAGCTACTGCAAAGGGGCTCCACGGCTAAAAGGTAGTCAAGGTGGCGTTAAAATGCCACCCCTTTTATAATGACGGGTGTTGCTCCGAAGATCACTCCATTGCTCGCCAAATGCCAGCATTCCAGCGAGTCTCCAAGCCTAAAACGGAGGGGGGGGAGGGAACTATCGGAGGAAATTAGCGTCCTATTTTATCCTATCCTTGCAGTTACCGTCCTGTGAATGCTGTTGAATTACAGCAGACCCTTCTGTTGAATTACAGAATTACAGACCCTTCTGTTGAATTACAGAATTACAGACCCTTCTGTTGAATTACAGACCCTTCTGTTGAATTACAGACCCTACTGTTGTGTGAGCTAGGCTGGTTGGTTCTGTGAATGCTGTTGATTGATTTGGCCACCCCACCCTTCTGTTGTTCTACAGACCCAAGTTCAAATCCTGATCTGATGGACGTTGATGAACGCAATGAAATGATTCTGAAAAGAAAGAGCAGTCTGTGAATGAGAAGAGAGAGAGAGAAGACAGACGGTCAAAAACCCGAAAGCTGAAAGAAATTCGAGGCGAGAGAAAAAACAATGCACAGTTACAGCCGCCGAAACAAAAGACAAGGGTGGGGCCAGTGGAGTTTTGTTTCGTTGGGGCCTCGTTCCACGGGCCAACTTGCTACATGCATTTGGAAGCCTTTCTGGACCAGGTGCATTCAGCGGAGCCCAACATTTTGAGTGTACCGACAAGATTATGAGCTCCAGATACATAGGATTTTGTAGTGGAGCGAGAGCCGTTATCGTCATCCCACCTTCACTCCGATCTGCAGCTGCGTCACGTCCTTCTCCTGCTTTGCCCCTGCACAGGGCCAACACAGACAGCCATGAAGAAACTAGGTATCAGTCAATATATACATCAGACTCTCTCTCTCTCTCTCTCTCTCTCTCTCACACACACACACACACACACACACACAAATAAGAAGAAGTAGAAGGACAAGAAGAAGAAGAAGAAGAAGAGATAGAAGAGGAAGATAGTGCCTATGGAGGGCCGGAGAATGAGCGGAGAGCAGAAGAGGGAGAAGAAGAAGACTCCCCTTTCTCTCTCTCACCTGCTGCTGATGAAGCGTGCCAGTAGTGACCAGCGAAGGTGGTGGTCCTCTGATGCAGGTTGCTGGAGCGAAGTCCCAGTTATGGCGCTCAGGTAAGCCGCACCTCCCCTCGCGGCTATGGGCCACCACCCTCAGCACTCCCACTACCTTTTACTCCTCTAACTGCTACTCTAGCAAAGCTCGGACACCAGTTTTCAGCAGCGCATCGCCCAAGTGTGCACCAGCAGACTGAATGTCGAATGCTGAGGACGGGCTCAGCTGTAGACTGCTGGGCCTGGCTGAGTGTACCACGGTCTACGGTCAGGACCCTCCGATCTCGTGTCCGATCGGCGGTCCTGATAGCAGGCTCAAGTCCTGGTCCTACGATCTGGCCTAAAACAGCCTGCCTGGGTCCCTACCTGACGTCCAGGCCATCCTGCTACTGCTGCAGGGCCCTGAGCACTCGGCCAGGCAAAAACAGAGAACCGCCTGGTCCAATCCTGACTACGGGCAAAACTGAACCTGGCCTACCTCGGCCTGAATCAAAATCCACTGGTCCACGCCTGTTTCGATAAAACGGAAAGTCCAAAAAGACACATCTGAGAAAGAAAAAATAGAACAGGTAAAACTCAGTCTCAAACTCAAGCAGAAAAAAATCATAAATAAATGAATAAATAGCTGGGTTACGAGCCGGGCCGCCCAGGTTGCCTCAGATTGGCCTGGGTGGCCTGGCCGGGCCAGATCCGGGCAAAGTCCCGGACAAGGTCCTGTGCAGTCCCAGTGTAATTGAAAAAAAAAAAAACACTAAGAAAACTAAAAAAAGTCTGGAAAAAAAAACTATATCATGCAGAATTGCAAATCAAACCACTTTTGGCGGAGGCTCACCCCGAAATCCATTATGAAATCTGAAATAAAGTTAATAAACAGTAAAAAGTATTAAAAACTAAGGCTGTAAGCCCCTTTAAGCCCCTTCGAGCCCTTTTGGACCCTGTTTATACCTCATAAACACCGTTTGGCGAGATAACACATAATTCAAAGATAAGGCCAGATTCGGGCACGTCTCAGTGGGCACAAAATTGCTGCACTGCCCCCCCCCCCCAAAAAAAAGACCCCCTTTTTGGTGTCGCCTGGGTACCCCGGGCGGGCCAAACCCCGTGCAAGTTCGCCTGGATCACCCGGCCGTGCATCACGGTCCGAGCGATCCTCGTAACCTAGATAAATGCTGAATAAAAGAAAGGCGAACGCGGCAAAATATGAGCTTGGTCCTAAAAGGGTGGCCGTGGGCCACCAAGTCCCGTGGTCAGAGACTGTGCAGCCTGGTGGCCGAAGAGGGAAATGCTGGGCCTGGAAGGCCCGTGTGGGAGCCCCTAGAATGCTAACGTATTCACCACAGTTTTCGTTGACTTCGAGGACCAATCACACGAGAGAGAGAGAGAGAGAGAGAGAGAGAGAGAGAGAGAGAGAGAGAGAGAGAGAGAGAGAGAGAGAGAGAGAGAGAGAGAGAGAGAG